GGGGGCGAGTGGCGGTGGTCGCGAGCGGCGACTGAGGGTGATGTGCCGGTAGTCATCGCTGTGTTCGCCTGCGGAGGCAGAGAGGCGCGATTGTGCGGCTGAGTTTGCGGTAGCGATGCGCGAAGGGGCGGGGCGGATGCGGCCAAGGGAAGGCTGAGCCCGCCTGCCCGCGCGTCACAGGTCCGTCCACGATGTCGTGCGAGCGGCGGTGCGGCCGCTGCACAGGCCTTGGAGCAGCGGCGGGGTTGGGAGAGGGACGTCGAGAGGGTGGCGGTCGAGGTTGTGGGCGGTCGCGCGTCGGGGCGCGAAGCTGCTGCGCCGCATCTTCATCCCGTCCGTCCTCGGCATCTGCTTGGGCGGCGGGGTCGGGCTGTTTGCAAAGACGCTGATGCTGCCGCCCGAGACGGCGCCGCTCGGCTGGCTCTTCATCTCGGCCTCCAAGCTCGGCGAGGCGGCGGTGCCGCCGCCGCCCGCCCTGCTCTGAAGCGACTCTGATCTGCCGCTGAGCCGTCTCTGGGCCTCCCCGCAGGTGCCCATCAACCTCGTCCTGCTCGGGGCGGCCCTCTCGCGCAGGCCCGAGGCCAAGGGGCTGCCCGTCGCCACCGCCGTCGGCATCGCCCTCGCGCGGATGGTGGCGATGCCGCTGCTCGGCCTCGTCGTCGCCTACGGGCTCACCACGGCGGGCGCGCGCTTCGTGCAGCCTTATGTCGCCGTCGACCCGTTCTGGCTCGTCTGCCTGATCGTGACGTGCACGCCGACGGCCAACAACATCGTGGTGCTGTGCGAGCTCGCGGGCGAGAACAAGCACACCATGTCTGCCGCCATCTTTTATCAGTATTGCGCCGCGCCCATCCTCTTGCCCGGCGTACTGACGCTGTACGTGGCCTTCATCTGCCACAATCGCGAGAGCATTCATGGGGACATGCTATTGTGAGATGTGAGAGATGTGAGACCTGAGACGCTTGCGATACGTGTCGTGGTTCTGTGTATGTGCATCTTGCAGCTCAGCCATAAGAAACGTGAGTCTGCGAGCGACGACCTCACCACAGTCCACACACTCACCAGCTCACCTCGGCTCGACCCCTGCGGCTGCGCTGTTTCTAGAGCTGTCAAACGTTAAATTTTTGGGGGCTAACAGTTGCACCGCATTGTTGGCTGAAATCCTCAACGTTGATCCATGATCGTTGTCAAAAAG